TGGAGTTGCTATAGCAACTCCAAGCTACCCCCTGGCGCCGCCCCTGGATATGTTTTATAATGATTGATCATGAAAGTGTTCTCAAAGCTGGTAAAGGTGCAGCTAGTTTGAATGACTTTGTATACTGCAGGGTAGCTTGTGAATTTACTCCAGGTGGAGCTAAAGTCTGATTTAAGACTTGATTAGATTTCACATCATTAATCCAGATCTGTAAAGTAACTAAAGGTACTAAATACAAGTAGAGGAGTAGAAGTGTGAAATAGCTACACATTGAAATACTCAAGTAGACTACAAGTACCTCAAAATTGTACTTGAGCACAGTACTTGCACCACACCATTACACATATCTTGAAATGTTAGGATGTTGGTCGAGCAGGACACATCCACACTATTGATTGATCTGATTTCTAACGATGTATGAACTCAATTATTAGCTTAGCCAAAAAGTCAATAATAAAAAAAGGTTAGTTGTGAACTCACTTAATTTACGTTATTTGAAGCTTTTATTTTTTATTATTTTTGACGTTACGACACTTCCGTCGTTACCGTGTTGCGCACTTGACGCACCTCCAGCTAGCTACAGCCTGCTAGCAAAAACCGTAATAGTATTTCTGGATTTCCTCACAAGCTAACTAGCCTTGTGACCATATTAAAACCGAGCCACACATCGACGTTACTCTCTACGTGGATGTGTGACAAGTGTGGCATTTAAAAGAAGCATAAATAGTACAATAAATAAACGATATACTGTCATGGGCAAAAAAAACGTTACGCTCTTTTTTTTTCTAATGTCAGTTAGCGCTGTGCTAACCGCAGCTAGGTTAGCATTGGGATGCTAGCTCTGAAGCTAACAGTTCAGATGAGAGCTGTGCTAAGGATAGCTAGGTTAGTATGCTAGCTCTGAAGCTAATAGTGCAGACGAAGGAAGGGAATCTGTTTTTACAAAATGACATTTTAATTTGAAAACAGGTTTTCTTACCATTTTGCCGCAAGGGGGTCTGAAGCTTCTTGGAGAGTAATTTAAAGCTCCGTTAACGGATCGACGCAATCAGATAAAAGACGAGGTTTGTGACTTTTAACAGTGAGATACCGACCACCGGCTGTCTGACTTTACGGTTTCTGACAGCGGGGGAGAGATTCACTGCAGCGCGAGCTGATAGAGCCGCAGAGGGGGAGAGAGAGGAGAGGTAGTGGTGGAGAGAGAGAGAGAGAGAGAGAGAGAGAGAGAGAGAGGTAGTGGTGGAGGGAGAGAGAGAGAGAGGTAGTGGTGGAGAGAGAGAGAGAGAGAGAGAGAGAAGGGGAGAGTGAAGAGGGAGAGAGGAGGAGGAAGGTGCAAACCAAAGCTCGTCTATTCAGCAGATGGATCACTCCACTTCTGATTCTTAATAATAATAATGTTCATGCTCAGCTCTCTGAATATATTTTGCACATTTCTCCAGACGTTTCTGCACAGCACTACTGTATCATAGTCATATTTTCATTTTCCTAAGAAGTGCTTTAGTTTTTGAGGTTCTTTATATATTTGAATTACAATTTGCTATAAATATTGGTATTTTATGCTAAATAGTTTCTTTAAAATAGTTTATTGTTATTATCGTTATATTTTTGACCTACACTTACAACTTGCTTTTGTTAGATTGTTTATATTTGCACCACCATGCACCAAAGTTAATTCCTTGTATGTGTGAAATATCTGACAATAAACTTGATTCTGATTCATAATAATAATAATAATAATAATAATACACTTTATTTGCATAGCACCTTTCAAAACATAGTGCTTTCACATAAGACAGAACACCGTTAAAAATAAAAGTGGATACATGTAGTGTAATGCAATACACGTTTACTATTTACTAGTGTCACCAGGCTGCTACTTTTCATATTTTCCCCATGTTACTGAAACTTATCTTTTGCTGCCTTGAATGTGTACTTCTTTGGTTTTATTGTATTAACATTTATTTATTAACCTTCCTACTTTTCATGCTAAACTGTAAAAAAGCCTCTTGGATCTGCTTGAAAATCCATCGTCACAAAAATGAAATTAGCTCAACCTTAAACATCTACATGCAGCAGTAATCCAAAAACACAATTTATAACAGTAAACACTGTAAATACATTAACTGCACAATATTTATATTTTGTCAGGGAATAATTCGGTACATGTTTATCACAGTGTCAACACAGAGAAATACTGATATAAATGTGTGTGTAGTTGTTGATAAATTGCTGACAGAGGGAACTACATTTGAATACAGATTTAAGAAATAACAGTTTTTGAGCATGTAATAAGCATGTTTTGTCTTGACTATATTACAACTATATTATAATAAAATAATATAGTATTTATATTATTGAATTGATTATGATTATGATTATTAGTGGATGGATCACTAGTGAAAATGCATACTGAACGACATACACGCACATGTACCATTTACCTCACTGTATAAAAAAGTAACTGTGTTGATGATAATAATAAACAGGAATTATATTTACTTCGTTTCCACTCCTGTCGGTTCGGGGGGGGGGGGGGCCTCATCTCACAATGTCGCTTGGGGCCCCAAGTTGGCCGGGGACGGCCCTGAGTCTATCTATTGAAGAATGTTGATTATTACACTCTGAACTAGTTAAAACCTGGAGCTACAGGAGGGGTCTTCAGAATTGATTTTGGCATCTCTGTGGTCAGACCGTGGCCCGTGACATGAATTCTCCGGCCGAAGCTCAAAATAAACCGTCAGTGTTTGCCATCAAAGCTCCAGCTCTCCTCGTGTCTCTCTGAGTCCTGGCTGTCTCCAATTGCTTCAGAGATTTCCCCCACATATTTCATTAAGCTAATCATACTTTAATACTAAATATATATATATATATATATATATATATATATATGTTTTTGCTCAGAGTGAATCATTGCCTTAAACGGAGACAATCTTTGGTGGAAAATGGTAGCACATCTTCTCTCAATCTCTGAAGCTCATCGTTGCATAGAGGAAACATCAAGGGTGTAATAAAAACAAACATCAATCATCATGTTTTCATTACCACACAATCATCTTTTAAACTTGAATAAATGTTAATGTGATCCCCCTTTTACAGTCATAACAGAGTGTCCTCATCCTCGATTTAAAGGCACACAGCAACAGTGTGCACAACACTTTGGATGTGAAGCACAATGAACTGCATCTCATCCCACACTAATATGTATGTTCATGATTGTAATGTTTCATGCAAACCATGTTTTGCAATGTCACGCAAAATATGAATTATGACCAAATGTGAGGCAGCATAACCACAGCCAACAGAGTGATAGATCCTCTTACATTATTTAATTGAATCTGACTAAGTACATTTACTCAATTACCATACTGACAAATCTGAGGTACTTTTTCTTTACTTAGGTATCTCCAATTAATGCCACTTTACACTTTTTGCTCCACTAAGAAAGCTTCAATTAATTTACAATATAATTTATTTATATAAAAAAGAGTTTGAATATTATGGATTAATCGGCCGTTGATCCCCAACAAATGCGTTATTCAATTCATCTAACCTGATGATGATGCAATATTATGTTTATTTGATCAATTACACTAACATTGAATACAAATACAGCTGAAACAATTACTAAATTATTATTTTAGGATTATTTGAATAACTGTTCGAGTCATTTTTCATTTAAAAATATTTCCTGTTTCCTGTTCCACTAACATGAAGACTTGATGTTTTTCATTTTAATAATGTAAATAATTGTTATTTATAAAACATGATGTTGAAGTTTGTGAGAACATTGTGTCAGCATTTTGACTATTTTCCTTATTTTTACAAACGAAACATAAATTGATTATTGGTGAATAACATCTGCAGAATTGTCCTTAATGAAAGTAATCATTACTTAATCAAAACAAGCTTTAGTTATTTACTTTGGGTTCATTTTCCTGACTGAATTAACTTGCTTTTACTCAAGTAACACTTTCAGATGAGGACTTTTAACAATTATGTATCAGTACTTTTGTTTTAGGATCTGAGTACTACTTCCTCCAACACTAATACATTATAATAACAACTGCTATTACACAATGACATTGATTCAGTATATTGTTTTATTCACAAAGACACTTTATACTCCTCATTTTAACACATAACAAAACAACAAGGTTTATGCATTGAGATGTCTTAACAAAAAACAAACAAACAGATCATATTTGGCAAAATAAATGAATCCAGCCATGCACTTCAGGAGAGGACAGAGGACAGAGGACAGAGAGTCCTTGGCGGTATAAGACTCAGAAAGAGAAGCACTCGCAGCCTGCAATAAGCATCGTGCTTGAAAATAAAAGACAGAAGAATTTGTCCTCTTTCAGGTGGAGAGACGGAGGTGTTTGAAGGCTTAACGTTTCAGTCTTGTACTTTTATTTTTGTCAACAAATCCTAAGAATAGACCTTTATCTAATACGACCCGAAAACCTGAAATATCTTCTTCCTGTGTGCCATAGAGCTCCATTGTTGTTCAGAAACTATTAAAACACATCAATGAGCCTCACTGATGCCCTGGTGACATGTTCCTTTATTATGAACACACACACAGTTGTTTATTTTGAGCCAATACACACACACCGTTCCGCTGCCACAAATACTCACTAAAGTACCAAATGTGGATTCCTCTGCCACTGAAAGTAGTCCCCAATAAATGCACCATTTCCTCTTGTTTGTTTGTTAATAACTAAAGTGAGCAGTAGGGGCCAATCAGCTTGGAGCTCAGAGTGACTGACAGGAAAGCAGAGGATACGTTTTGGTCTTTTCATGGGATTTGTTGAAATGTCGAGTAACACCAGCCTTATCATTTAAAGGAAGCATCCTCCATCATCCACTCACACTGTTAAATATCAGTGTGTGAGTTTTTTCAAATTCCTACAGAAATGTAGCTTCTTTTGGAAAACCTGACTTTAATTTTCTGTCTATTTTTCCTATTCTTGGCGGATTTGTACCTGTATGGTTGTTCTTAGTCTTAGTAACCAGAAACAGATTGCTGCTTATTGGTTTTAGATACTTTCAATGCTTTCGGCCTCAAAACTCACATTTTCTGCAACTGGCAAAATCTGAACATGTCTGAAATTGTCGAGTTATCTGCAAGAACAAGAAACATCCCTTCATGCTACCTCCTTGTTTGAACAGATTTTTCCATTAAATAACACAATAAATAACGCATAAGAAAAGTCAAAACTATTACAATGATGTCCACGCTCACATACACCACATCTTCTTTCTCACAGACACATCCACACATTTAATAAATAAGATAAAATAGTTATTTCTCCTACAGGTGTCTTCCATCCAATAGGTCCTTCACAGCTAGAGATATATTTAGTTATCAGGGGGTATTGCATACAATTTAAAGGCTTATTTAATTCCACTTAAAGGATCAGTTCTGGGATAATGAAAAGGTTTTGTCTTCCCTCCTTCTCCAGAATGAGATTAGAGGATTGACATATTTGACCGCCTCCAGTACAGAGATACAGGTTATGTGTTTAATCTACCACAGGACAACAGCGGTGGTTCAAGAAGGAGACAGTTGTCTAAAGAATTTAAATAGAGGTTAGTTTTGGGCAGAAATTCACAGATTTCTGCAAATCTACTCTGTTCCTAATGGGGGGGGGGAAACCCATGCATGAAAAGCAAGTAAGGAAAAAACCATTGCAGTGAAGTCCTTAGAATCCTACATAATCGAACATAGAGGTAAGAAATGGGTTTTCCCTGCCTAAAGTCTTTTAGCTACGCTAAGCTAACACATCCTGGACTTATCTCTGTATTAGAATAACTGAGGTTAAATGTCTATAAATCTTCTAAAACGAGATGGAAAACAAGTGTATTTCACAAAATGTCCAACTGTTCCTTTAACCGTTACGCTATGTGTAACTTTTCATGTGATGCTTCTCTTGATGTTTAGTTACTGAAAGGAAGTATTTGTACACAGAGTAAACGATGGTTTGAACATTAAACACAGATAAATGAGAGAAAACTGCATTTGCAAGCTAAGATCTTTCCCTAGGTTTTTCCCTTCCGTGCTTTCTTTGATATAAAACATTTTAAACCAGCCGTGTTGGCCGACATGATCCCGCTGTGTGCAGTTAATGTACGTCACTGTATAGGTGTTTAAATATTAGCTACCCTGTTTCTGGCATGTGAAGCTGCCAGAAAGCACCACCGCAGCTTCAAAACAACATAAAAAACCTTCAAAGAATAGCATAGCAAACAGCTATCTTGTCCCAACAACACAAATACCCCCGCTGACATGTCCTTGTTTAGTGAAGCTGATGTTGGAAGGTATCCGGTCCTCTGCTGTGTGTTTGTGGGGGGACGAGCCGGCTCAGTTGAAGGACTCCTTGTTGATCCACATGAGGGTCCGCGTCTCGTTGGGCTTGCACTCGTAATCGATGCTGTTGAATTTGTTCCCGAACTGGCAGTGCTCCCTCTTGTAATAGTTGTAGTACTTCGCCTGCCAGACCGTCTCAAACGTCCCGGCTTTGATGAACTGGACAGGAACAGAGATCATGGTCAGCATTCACAGTGGAAGTAATCATATATTTTACTGACAGTTAATGTATAAATAACAAACTGTAAAAATACCCTGTTGCTAGTCTAAGGGATGCACTAAAAATCTCACTTAAGTGCTGAAGTATTGGTGCAAAAATGTAGTTAAGTACCAAAAGTAAAAGTAACCATTAAACGGATTTAGGTTGTAAACACAAAACGCATTAAACTATGATAAACCTCTGATGCACTGTAGGCTATCCAGCTTTAGCTTTTGATGCTAACAGGCTACGCTTGTACTTTTACTTGATTTTGAATATACTTAAAGGCCTAACTGGGTCTTTATACACTGTAGTATTGAAATGTTCACTAACAATATGTGTAATCAACAATCAAAACAAGACTCAACATAGCAACAACCCTTCAAGTACATTAGCTACTAAACCAATCAAAGTGCGGCTGCAGCTACAAATAATTCAAACCTGTCTGAGTGCTACATGCAGAAATAAGAAGGGTGTTTCTGTGTTTTTCTATTAGCTAGGATACTTAGTACTTCTTCCTCATCTGGAAACAGCCTCTGATATCTGGTAAATGTCGCTGAGACAGTTTTCTAACCTCCATAGCGACTTGCACGGGTTGCCGGTCTCCGCTCTTGGTGTGCGGGACGCCCTCGGTGTCGTACTTTCCGTGATAAACCACCGACTCCTCGTCCCGTGACTGCTCCTCCAGAGGGAAGACGATGCCTCCGATGTTCATGTTGCTGTGAGGAGGAAGAGGAGAGGAGTTTGATATTATATTACAAGCTTTTAGGGATAAGACACCCGCAGATCTTGAGTGCTGACTCTTCTCCTTGATCTGTTGTGGCTTGGCATAGCTTCTTTTATAGGTCACTTTGGACATCAAAATATATTTCTTTCAACATTATTTTATTTGTAAAATAACAACCCGGGCAGAATAATATAACAATATTCAAGAATGTCACCTTGATGCCAGAGTACACCATAATACAGGATATTGGGGGAAAATAAAACAAGATAGTTACAGAGAGGTAAAATATTCAAGGCTTTATTTTCATTTGCACATACAGTGTAGACATGGCAATGAAAAATGTGCTCCTCCAAAACATAACAGGCCTTGTGTTTACATTTTGTTTTAAGTGTGATAAAAAGAAACAACAGACATGTCTGACTCAAAAATGAGAGTTGGATTCAATGCTTATTTGAATATAAGAGGAACAATTGTGTTGTCTGTCTCCAGAAATGTCAAAAAAAGATAACATATTTGTAATCTATCCAGCTTTTCCTTAGTGAATTTGCTCAATTTAAGTACCATATCAACTAAGATAGGTCAAATGTTTACAACCCTATATCGCGGCCTGTTTGCAGCGGGGCTCTGATATTGTTTTACTCTGCATTGTGCTGACATAATCCTACAGTAAAAGTGTACATATTAGTCGTACTCCACGCCTATACAGCATGCCCATCAGCATATCTTTATCAAAGCCTCACAGAGACTAAACCTATGCATTTAGTTGATTTCAGTCAACTTTTTAAAATGTACCATTGCTCACAAACAACTACCCTAAAACCTTTGAACTCAAACTAATTTGGGCATATATTTAGACCTTTATACAGCTACTGTAATCACCTTTTCTAAATTGCAACCATTTCAATTTGCACATCTTAGGTATGCAGGCTCTGGGACTGTGTTGTGTTGAAAAAAGGTTTTTGTATATAAAGTTATTTATTTAGGTTGTTCTGTCGTGAGTCGTGACCATATATACTGGGGGCTGGGGGCGAGGCACTGCCCCCTGGAGCAGACACCAACTACGCAGTGTGGAAATGCCTAAACAGAATAAGATCTGGTGTTGGACGTGCAAAAGCCACTCTCGCCAAATGGGGATACCTAAATGACGGGGACGTTGTGTGTGACTGCGGCATTGAACCACAAACCATGCAACACCTCCTGATATGCCCCCTGCTGGAGCAACCCTGCACAACATCGGACTTGGCAGAGTTTAATGAGAAGGGACAGCAATGTGTTCAGCTGTGGCTGAACCACATCTAACCAAGCCCTGTAACTGACTGCCTTGTGGACACGATAAGAAGAAACCATATATACTGTATAAATAAATATATATCTATTTATAAAGTACAAGTCCCTCAAAATTGTACTTAAGAACAGTAATTGAGTAAATCTACTTAGGTTAATCACTGGCTATAATGTCAGCTCAGTCTATTAATAACAATGCATTATCAGCATGGGGAGCAGGTCCTAATTCTCCCTTAGGTCCTCTATTCCTATTTTGCATGTACAGTATCTTTGTTATTGTACATATTAAGGAGTCACCTTCACATAGGTCCCTCCCATTGTTTGATCATGTGGACCCCGCCCTGCTGCACACACTCATTCCTCTTTATCTAATCCAACAACACACAGCCGACATGAGCTGTTAGTGTTTGCACATCAGAGAGCGACGAGGCTTCCTGTCACCACCAGCGATACAGAAGAAAATATCATGATTCATTCAGGAGGAAATGTGATGCTACAGGCCTGCAGGAGGAAGGCCACGGAGCCACTAACATGCCCGGATATTACTGCTTTATTTTGTATGTCTAAGCATTATTGAACCGCAATGATGGTAATGCATTGTATAATGGGCGTTTTACCATTTTAATTCTAATTATATTTAATTAAGTGTCTACTCTTGTGCCTCCTGCTGCAGATAAACCGCAATATCTGACCCTAGAATGGCGAAATTAATAATAAAAAGTGGTTTGAATTGCATTTCCTCTTACATGGCCTCGACGGTTCCAGGCTTCAGCACCACCTCGATCTTGTATTTGGATCCTGTCAGCAGTTTGATGGTCCGGTTCTGGCCGAAGCGGGTCCCGTCCACCTTGAAGAACACGGGCCCGTCGTTGGGCTGGATCCGCAGCGAGATGGCGATGTCGACGATCGGGGGAACACCGTCCATTATCCCGGGTTCAGAGGGTCTCTAACGGGGTCAGTGCTCGGTGTTGGGGGAGCAGACGGAGGAAGATGCGGTGATGCTGAGGAGGACCACAGTCAAGCAGGGCACGAAGGGACTTCCGGTTGTGTCTTTCAAAATAAAAGTCTGAAGGCCAGAGTCATGTGATGCAACCATGGATGCAACTCAATTATTTCTTAATTGTATTTTAAAAAAATGTCCATTGTAATTACCAAATGCTGAACCCAAGAATCAAATATATTTCTTTAGCAATTGACAAAAAACAAGAATATGCACGTTTGTATATTTCAATGAAAATGATAGTGCAACTATTTGTTAATAAAAAAACAAACATATATATGCACATATTTTGGTTAAGGCTAGACGATAATGTTCTCTTTTTCCTTGTCTCATATAAAAATAAATCAAATATACCAAGGACATTGTGTAGCAAATTTGTTGTTGTTTTAGACTCAATTTCCAATACGTTTAATCAAACCCAAATAAGTGCCAGAATAAAAAGAATCACAATTTCTTGTAGCCGTTATATTGAAGTGCATTTAGTCTAAATTGATCAATGTAAATGTACAAAATATATTTGTTAGTTCTTTCTGCAAGATGTATCATTTAAATCATGATGAAAGAAAGGAAATATATTATAATTAATAATAATAATGCATTTATATATATTTATGGCAATTATGGGCGCCTTTCAAAACTCTCAAGGACACAGAGCACAATTAAAAACAAGCAACAAAGAAGGTCAAACAGTAATTCGAGACTTAAAAAACAAAGACTTAAAAACAACAATCAGTTTTTAGAGGAATAAAGATATTGAATACGCCAGTTTAAAAAGGTGGGTTTTCAGGCAGGATTTGAAGGTTGAGAGTGAGTCCATATTGCAGATGTCTTGTGGGAGAGAGTTCAAGAGACGGGGGGTAGAGTGGCTGAAGGCTCTTGACCCTTGTCAGGCGGGCAGAAGGTACAGTGGGTGTTTCTCAATGTCGAGGAAGGCTGCTCCAGAGCCACTATTTCAAGGATGCTAAGTCATCGAGTCCCGCCGAAGGACTGTTCCATGTTCCAATGTCCAGGATGCTTGGAATTCTACCGAGGCCGGCGTCCTTCGTTGCGGGAAATTTCGAGGCTGTGGCCGTTTCTCAATCGCGAGGATACTGGCTTGGTAGTCGCATACTTCCAAGTCACTTCCTTCAGAAACGAAGCAAGTATACTTCCAAGCCACGGCTTCAGAAAACAAAGAAGAATGGAACAGGCTAACAAGTGTGCCACTCTCTCTAACGGTTTCAACATAAACTGTACCGAAAATAAATACCTCACGATGTCTATCTAATTATGAACTTGCTTTACTTTCACGGAACACATTTTTGGTGATAACAAATGCAACAAAGTAACATATTTACCCTCACATGTTCTACGCCACTAAATACTTACATTTAAATGTGTGCTGCGCTGCGTCGGTTCAGCCATTCTCCGCAAGGGTTTTTGAAATTGGTCTGTGCGCAAAGCATTGTGGGGATTTAAAGGACGCGAAGTCTACCCATGTGCAGCCTCGAAATTACCCTCAAACCAAGGACGTGGCCTCGGTGGAATTCCAAGTATGCTGGAGATTGGAACAGTCCTTCGGCGGCACTCGATGACGTAGTATCCTTGAAATATTGGCTTGGAAGCCAGTTTCCTCGCGATTGAGAAACGACCTGGATATGTGTATCCTCCGCGGTCTTAAAATCCCCACAATGCTTTGCGCACGGACCAATTTCCAAATCTTTGGTGGAAATCGCGCTCCATTTAAGGCGGGGCCTCTCATATGACGCACACCTGCACACCTGTTCCGCAATTCTTCATTTTCCGAGGCTAGGAAGGATTCTTGCATCGCTTCTGAAGAACCTGACTTGGAGGGACTTGTCCTACCAAGGAAGCGTCCTTGACATTGAGAAACACGTGAGTTGGAAGGCAGAGGAGGATCGGATAGCACGAGAGGGAGTGTAGGTGTGAAGGAGTTCAGATAGATATGGAGGTGCAAGAGTGTGGCAGCCAATGGAGTTGTTGAAGAACCGAAGTGATATGATCAATGGAAGGAGTTAATGATACGGGCGGCTGAGTTTTGGACCAGTTGGAGCTTACGCAGAGATTTGTGAGGATGGACTTGCAATAATCAAAACGGGATGTAACGAGGGCTTTTGCTCATTATAATTTATAATAGATTATATTTGCCAATTATCATCGAAATCCCCCTTTTGCTTTTTCCGTGAGTTGATTTTTCCTACTACTCATCCTTTTACCCTATTTTGTGTCTTTGTTGTTCTCATAAATATGTAAAATGACAAAGCGAAAACATTTTCATCGGACATCACAATTCAACTTTAGCTAGGAGTTTTGCAATTTATTGCATCTCAGTCTGTGTTAAACGACACAAGAAAAAGAAAATTAAACTTTACTTCAGCTAATTGCAAACATTTAATTTATTGCATTTCAGTCATTTTTACATCACAGGATTGAAACAGCTTGATTGTAGCAAATCATTTGACCCTCTGATGTCAATGTTTCATTTTCTCCATGATTCTTTTTTTCTTAAAAAAAGTACAAAAAAAATAAAACTATTCACATTTTTTTGTGTGTGTGTGTATTTGCATAAAACACAAAACTATCAAATATATTAGAGTTAGAAATCAGGCTCTCAAAAGTGCCAGAGGTGCTTTAAAAAAATAATACTGTATGTGGAGTCCTCTGTCGGTCATCTGTCCAGCTCGGCCTGCAGGATCTCTCCCCAGGTCTCAGCGTCCAGAGGCGTCATCTTCCTGCCCCTCAGCTCCTCTGCAGAGCGCACATGGCTGAACCGTCCCCTCAGCCAGTCTCTCTTCAGGCAGCTCCGCGTGTAGTTCTTCACCAGAGTGACCTGCAGGAACGAGAGGGACACAGTCATTACCAGTCGTTATCAGTAATCAGAAATTGGAGCTTTTTTCTCCCCAGGAAAGTACCACCTCTCTAGCAGGCACTAAAAAGTGGGTAAAAGTTCTTATGAACTAAGTACTCTTTTTGGTGTGAACGCAAAATCGCAGGAACTATCGGAACTAAACGGGAAAAGTATTCCGGTGTGAAAGCGCCTATTGTCGCTGCATTGTATAATTATTTGTCTGTTTTATTTTGATCTTTTTCTTTTCTTTTCCTTTCTATGTTTCTTTTCATGGCTCTGTTGTTTAAGTTATCTTGATAAGCATTTTTTGGTTTGGTTTTGCCCGTGTGGGCATGGAGGGAGGGAGTGGGGAGTGGAATTAGTGTACTGTGATACTACAATGTAAATGAAATTGCATCGATTATTGTACACTATAATGAAATAAAAAGACGTATAAAAAAGAAATCTAATGTTTTGTGTCACTGTGGTGAACGGACATTTGCAGCTGTGTTCTTTTTTTTAAAATGTTATTCTGATTGTACCACATTTGTTCTGTTTTCTTCTGCTGATTTTCGACTGGAGGACTCAGAGATCTGCACTGTTAATCAGAATCAGGAAACTTTATTTATACTTGGGGAATTTGGTTTCTTGACAGTTCAATGAAGAATTCAATAAAAATAACAATATGTATTTAAAGAAAAATATGAATACAGACATACTGGAAGAGGTTAAAGTGATAATGTGCAAAACAAAGAAAAAATAAATATACAAACAAATATATTTTTATGAACATAATCCGAATTCTGGAGATAAAGCTAAGAAGATACATTTAAATATATAATAAAATAGTAGTTATTCATGTAACTCCAAGCCTTTTTTGAGTATTTCATGACTGCATTTGTGCAACCATTGATTTTCTTTCTTGTCTTGAAATGTACAGCTCTCCCCTTTTCCCTATATGCTCCTACTGACCTGTTTCTTCATGGTTTCTTTGTTTTGTTTCTATAGTGGACCCACCTTCCAGGACAGTCCGTCCCTCCTGTCGCTGTCGACCTCCCTCTGGCAGACGGCGCTGACCAGCGAACACTGATTCCTCCACACCTGCTCGCTCTCCTCGATGATGTCGTGCCACAGCCGGCAGGTCAGCGCCGCGCTGCAGAGACTCTCGGTGTCCAGCTCGCCAAAGATCCTCTCGCTCATCTCCGTCGGCAGCGTCTCTGCAAAGTTTTGAGGAGGGACGTCGCAGGTGGACATGAGGGAGGCTCTTCTTTTAGAGCAGAGAAACACGGGCGAGGCCGGGTCGTGATGCATGATAGCTCAGAGTCCAACGGTCTGAAACCGCCTGGAAAACAGAGGGATTAAGAAAGCTGACGTCACTGATTACAGCTTCATTACAATGTGAACTATTCAGGATTATTTTTTAATCCAACAGGCGGACATTCCTATTTAATTGTCTTGGGGAATTTTGTAGCATATATTGTATTTCATTGAGCAAGAGTTTTTCCTACAAATAAATAAATACTTTGGATCATATTTTGCGATGTATATATGTTATTAAATTCTAAAAAACAACATCTGCCATTGGAGCTGAATCTCCATCCTCTATTCAGTTGTAGAACATAAATACATTTTGGCCTTTTCAGTTACAGAAGCATAGCATTTTGCCAAAAACCAGTGCATAGTAAAAATACAGAGACACTCACTGTTTCATAATTTTAAGTAAAATGTAAGTAAATTAAAACATGTACACCAACAGACTATGAACAGTCACATGTGGCAGTTATTCACAGGTAAAATATAACAGTAGTATGCCCTACAATAGGACATAAAACAATGTAGTTCTATCAGTAGCTTTACAGTAAAGTTGAAAACCCCGCAAACACTGAATCAGCTCTGTAACCATTGAGTGCAGGTCTTTTTAGTAATTCCTAGAGTCCGGAAAACCAGATCAGGAGTCAGTGCTTTCAGTTAACAAGGTCCCCTTGCTCTGGAAACAACTTCCTGTGTTTATTAGGAAGGCAGACAGTGTCAAGAGCTTGTTGAAGACTATCCTTTTGAATAAAGCCAGGATTTTATAAACATATTTCCCTATGATTGTCCTCCTGAGTCCTACATTTTATTGTATTTTATTTTATTGTATTTACTCTCTTATATAAATATCAGCTAAGTCTGGTAAAATACACTAAAAGGTAGAGTTTATGTTTCATATTGTCAATGTTCCCCTTATGAATAAACACTCAATAAAATGGTTGTGCAGCAGTTGCAGTACAAAGATGCAAATATATACTGCAAGTAAACACAGTATAAAGTAAATGTGCATAAAGCCAGGAATATCAACAGGTGAGAACAAGATTCAAATTGAAAACATGACAAAATTAAACAGATACTGCTGAAAAGTAAACAGGCATGATATAAATGCAGTTTTCTATAACCCAAAAATAGGTGTTAGGCTTTTGGGTGGCAACACAAATCTCTGCCTTTAAACACAACCCAGATTTAACCATTTCCAGGCCATGAAACAGAACAAAATAACAGCAATCCGTTTAAATTACGATCATCCGCAAACCCGGGTTTGCGGATGAAGAAAGCTTTAATATCTGCATAAAAGTGAGAATTTTCAATCAGATTTTACTCTTGCTCACCGGAGTAACGTTGACGTCCCTGCTAACATCAGTTAGCCTAGCTAAGATCGACTGAAAAACCCTCGCAGTTTTCCGGCCAAATCCTTGGTGATTTTTACAAGAAATGCAGATATAAAAGTCAGTCAGACTATTTTACTACAACACGATGAGGTTTAGTTTAGTTTGTTGTTTTCTTACCGGCAGTGTGGTCGCTCCGTGTCTCGGTGACAGCTGACTGTTTAAATGCTTCAACGGTTGTTTACACACAGACACACGTCGTGTGTTTTGATGAAGTGCGCATGCGTATAAAGGGTCATACATTCACCAGACTCCGTCCTGAATCTATACAATTTAACATGTTGTTGTTTATTGACGAATTATTCATGTTTATGAAATAAATCAAAAGATGGTTTATCAACAAGTAAATATCAATCCTTAATTTGGCATACATTTTATATACATTGCGTAAGTTTAGTTTATGCAAATCGCAATTTATAATTTGATTCTCACGTCTTAAATACAGAAAATCCTCTTTCTTTATTGAAATAATTCAAAACAATGTTATTCGGTGAAACATGTTGGGAATACATTTGCTACACAATAATATGGCGGAAAAAAGCTCCTTATTTCTTTCTATTCTGTCCTAATATCTAGCTATTCAAATCCAGTACACGATGACCACAAGTGGAGAGGAAGAAGTGTGAACCAAATGAATAAGTTGAAAATATTGATCATTACAAGAATGTAATGTCTGTTAAATGTATGCCGAATTAAATAGTTATATTTATTATTGATAAATCGTCTTTTTCTTCTTTTAAAATGCACAAATAATTCGCAAGTGAATGATAACATTTAAAATGGGTTAAATCTGGATGGAGTTCGGTTCAAGTGTGTGCAGAAATAGAAAAAAAAAGAGGTCTACTGCGCAGACTCCTCAGAATCCCGGAAGTTTTGAATCCTGCAGCTAGAGTTGTAAATGCTCTCTGTGCTGTCGGTTTGATTGTGGAGTTTTTTATCCTGAGAGACAAATAACTATCCTGTTTTCCTTCACAACAGGTAGGCAGAAGTAAAAGTGTATTACTGCATGGCTTGTTGAGACGTTAGCTGACTACAGTCCATGCAACTGAATGAAACGCAAGTTTTAGAAGCTGTTTACTTCCACTATTACTGTAAGTCCTCTGTAGCTTTTCGAAACCCCCTGAACTAAATTGTTGTTTGTTGTTTACTTATGTGTTATCAACCAGTGGCTCCAGTGAACTGGGGTGAAGCTCCCTCCACTCCAGTACCCGGCCAGCGGTGCAGATGTCTGGCTTCGACCTGCTCCCGGTGGACGGTGGCGGCGGGGAACCAATCCACCTTCCTCCTGGGGAAACGGTGCTGGGCAGGGGGCCCTTACTGGGAGTGAGTCCTTTTTATGTATTTAATTGTATTACATTACATGTTGATGTTACTTATTTGTTGCTTTTTCAGAATCAGAATACCTTTTATCCACAGAGGGGAAATGTTACAGCAGAAAAGACCCAAAGACAGCTTAATGTTAACTAAATGTTAAGTTACCGAAAGCGACTCACATAATACTACTTTTGTTTTGGCTTGGTTTGGATACTTGCAGTACTCTTAAGAAACAGTGCACATTAATAAATATTGCTGTAAATGCAGTGTGTTATTTTAACTCTAGTAAAACATTTGCACAACAGACTATTAACAGACACACGTTATATATCACCCATAAATTGGTAAAATTGACTTTCAATAGTAAGTTTCAGTAGCTTCAAGTCAAAGAGAAAACTGCTAATCAACTCTGCAAATACTAACTAATATTCCTGCTTTCAACTTGTCTTATTAATACTCTTTGCTAGTTTAATACTAGCGTGACTGAAGAATACCCATTTAAAACATTGCTGTACATTTGTTAGTGGGATGTAGTGGGAAGTACTAAAATAGAATAGTGAATAGTTTGTACTTTACTTTAGTTATTCCTTTTCTTGCCACTTTCTAGTCTACTACATTTCAGAGTGCAAATATGAATGCTACTCCACTAGATTGTTCTGATAGCTATGGTTAATTTACAATCTTAGATTCCTGCAAACATACAGGTTAACACAGCTGAAACCATAAATCTATTAGTTGATTGACAGCAAATAAATCAGCGACAATTTTGAGGGTTAAAGACCTTTTTCGTGCAATGGTTTGTGTTTGTTCATTAAATAATGAGAAAAAACCTATAATGGTCTATTGTATTTAATAGTATAGTGGGAATTTTCAACTTTTTTCGACTTCTTTTGCACTCAGCAGTAGCATTTGTAATTTCTGTAATCAGGCTAACTGGTGAGATTTTAAATAAATATCTAAACATGCTCCTAAAGAGTCGAACTAAGGAACCTGTCATAGCTGAACTGCAGGTGTTCCTCTGAACCACTGGAGGACTCTGTCACACTGGAACATGGAGGTGTAATTCCTGATCCGGTACAACATAGTCGTTGTAGCCCTGATTTGATCACAGCTATCACCAAAAGGACAGATTTCCCAGCATGTTTCAATCGCTTTTCTTTGTACACATGTGTCTCTCAAATTTAAACATGGCCTGATTTAACTTCCACTGCATACAAGGGATGTTTTGTTATAAATAATAGAAAACTAATGGAAAATCTGTAAATAAATTAAATAAATCAAAAATCCACGTATATTAATACTTTATTTACTGCATGAATGTTGAAGTTTTACCTTTTATACTAGACTTTTATAAAAACTTAAAGTAACTCTAGGTGGTAGAAACACACACACTTACCAAACGTTATATGATTCATCCTCTGGGTACCATCACAGGTGTTCTTTTTATAAAATACAGGTGAAATTACTGAAATTACTATGGTGGTCTGTATCTATCAGTTTATTTTAAACATATCTAACTCATTTTGTACTGAAGCTTCTCCTGTTTAATTAATGTTGCGTCTTCTCAGGTCAGTGATAAGAGAGTCTCCAGACTTCACGGGCTGCTGGAGAACCTGAACGGACAGCTGCGCCTCAAACCGGTACGTCTTCACACTGAAAATAATCAATAACAACAATGAAACACACCACTGCTTCTGCCTGTTTCACTCGTTTCACTTGTAGTTTAATGGTTATTACAAAGGCTTAGTTTTTAAAGATCAATTATGTTAATGTCGCAGAAATCACCGCCTCGTGTCTTAGTTATTTATAATGTATTTTATTGTTTGAGATCAGTTTCTTTAATGGCTGCATAATGCAAACATGTGAAACACTACAGATAATGTTTAGAGTAATCTGAAATCTGTGCTTTCTAAGACTGATGCCCTCCAAGAAATACTGACTATATAAAACTAGCAATGCATGTAATGACACTAGCTAGGGCTACATTACATTACATTACATGTTACTTGTTAGTCGCTTTTATCCAAAGCCACTTACATACTCAATACTGTGGGCAATCCCCACAGGAGCAATTTGGGGTGAAGTGTCTCTGCCAAGGCACAC